GCCAGCACCACTGTAGTCCCATAGGCAAAAATATAATTTTCTCTCAGCTCAACAGTGCAATTTCTGAAAACCCAGCACAAAGAACTTGTTCTGAATCCCCTCAAGAAATGTGTGAAAGGCCAGATGTGTGTGGCAGGAGCAGGGGTCAGGTGAGGACACACACTCTTTTCCCAGCTCCAAGCACTAGAATAGCACGGGCTAAGCACTGATGCTTTTAAAGCAGGGTTTATGGGCAAGCCTTATGGTGTGCTGATGCTTGTGCCACATGGCATTCTCTTGAAACTCTTTTCTGTCTTAGTGACAGCAAACCTGACTTGCTGGTCTATTGCCTTTGCCTTATTTTGTTTGTCATCTGAGGAAGAAATTGTTTTGGATTACCCAGAGTGAGCACTCTTTTGGAGGATCTTTTCCAGTGTTCCTTTGAAAGCACTACAGGCACTCGACGCTTCATCAGTTGCTTAAGATGCATTCAGGTAAGAGAAGAGCTAGATAACCTGTGCATTTTCTTGCAAATTTTATGATCCTTTATTTATGTGGAAAATGCCCACAGAGTGGTCAGTTCAGAAAGCTAAGATTTTGCAGCTGGTTTATGGTCCACATGTAAAAAGATCTATTTTTTTTAAAAGTGTGTTGAGTTTTCTGAATGCCAAGTTCAGCTAGACTTGATTTCAAACTTGGGCCTCATTTCAAATATCTGCTGCTCCCACTTACAGTGGTTTTACATGGCAATTCGAGTTAGGAGCACAAAACAGATAAATCTTTAATGAGCTACACATATCAGAGGAAGTAACCTGTGCTATGCCTTTCTCGGACAGCAAATCAGCATACCCTGACTAACTAACTTGCCCTTGTGATTGTGATTGGAGATACTGCATTTTATCCCAAACTTTCCACACACTTAAAATGAGCTGGGGTTCTAGATCCTCATAATTTCTGAAAAGCAATTTATACATCTGCTGGAGCACGGAAAAATCAGCATTTGCTCCATACTACACTCATATCCCCTGTTCTGCTAGGACAGAGTAGTACAAAGAAAGAGGTTTGGTAATTCAAGGCAGCATTCTGTTACTCTTTTTTAGCATGTAAGTTGGAGGAATTCATCACAGGCACGGGTGGAAAGATTTGTCATAGTCCTCCTCTTAGTCTCAGGTCTCTGAGAAGAGAATAAAGCTCCAAGCCAAATTTCACTTAGTTTCAAGTCTGAAGAGCTTGCATTCCTGGAGAACAGTGACAGACAATATTCAGCCTTTTTTAACAATACAACTCCTGCAATCTGTTTCCAACCCGTTCCTCTACATTGCAGCTGTATGATTTGTGCAGTGTGCAGCCCCATAGAACTGCCTGGAATTCAGGAGTGTGATTTGAGCATGCACCTGTAATATTATTTGATTCACTGGAACTTTTTAAAGCCTCCTCTACCACATATTCAGACACAGCCTGGCACCTCAGTCTTGCTTCCCCTTCTAGCAAATTTGCATCCAGTGAAAGTAAGACAGTAATCTTGCAAAAAGGGAAGGATTCAATGCTCCCTCAATGAAAGTATGGTTTTCCCTATCTCATCATCTGAAGCAATTGAAATTCTCTCCAAGACCATTGCAGAGCCTCTGCCTACATGCAAAAGAAAAACAAAAAATAAAAACAAACTGTACTGATCAGTCTTTTCCTCTGGCTCACAATCGTCCTCCAGATCTTTTCCTACCTATATCTTCAGCACAAGCTTTCTTTCTTTTATACTACTTTCTACTACTAGTTTGGTTGTGACATTCCTGCCATTTCATCCTGCTGACATGCTGTCCTCTTTTCCCTGTGTTACTATCCACATTCTACTTGTTTATCCCTTCCTTAAGCATCATGGCAATTCTGTCTTTCTCTTAGGCTCTGCACTGGCCTGAAACCCAGAGGAGGCCAGACTAGTTCAAGAGACTGCTTTCTTAGGAGCTGTCAGTGGGTTTTCCAACAGCCTAGAAGAGCCAAATGATAAAGCGGTCCCTACTGCCTTCAATGCACATTCTCCCATAGCTTCATTTCCCAGGTAGCCATTTTATGTGATACTTGGATTTGTAACAAAGACATTTTGTTTGCCTTATCCAACTGTTTATTTTCTTGATAACCTTTTCCTGTATCTTTTGCAAATAAAAGTTCTGATTCTGTAGCCAATAATTTGACCTCATGTAAGAAGACTGACGCACAGCAGAAAAGTGAGAAGAGACTGACTTTTATAAGGAAGATTCATCTCAGTTAATATCAAACATTCCAGAACATAGACTTTTACATATGAACTAGTCACCCTAGGAACTCTTTATAGTCAGTGGAGACAGGTCCGTTCAAGGCTAGCTCAGCTGTAGGTATCTAAATTAGGAGAAATCGATTCAATCTTTAATTTCAGGTTCCAATTGCATATTCTGTGTCAGCATTTATTAAATCCACTGCATCCATCTCTCTGATGTCAATGGCATTTGTCAGCACTCACATTCTTGGAGCTACCACAAGACTTCTCATGAAAAAATATCCCAGAATATAGCTTTGTCTTCCAAATTACCTCAGGATTCTTCCTGGCTCTTAACTGGAAGTTGCAAGAGAATCTCTGTAACTTGTCTTTTTCCGGATATGGCACTAAGCATTATTCAGGTACCTCAAACCCTCAGAGACAGAACAAACATATTGACTAATTTCCACCACTGAAAAGCTGAGCTCTTCCATGGGTTTGTACAGAAAGAGCCCCATCAGTAACATCTTGCATCTGTGCAAAGAGAGTATGCAAGCCTGTTTGAATGCTTCCAATGGCATCCATTAAATCCCTGATCACAATGAAAAATAAAACAGAAGTTAAATGTATGGGCTTCCATATAACTGAGATCTCAAACAATCCTGAAGAGAAGGAAGACACTGACTCCAAGCAGAAAAAGGGAAGAACTAGGGGTAACTGGCTTTGTAACAGAAAAATCCTTCCCCTGCCTTAACACAAAAGCAGGGCACCTGGAGTTTACAGCAGGAAACTAACATTTCAGAGAGTAAAAAAAACCCTTCTATGTAACTTGCAACTAGGCAAACAAGAGCCTGTTAAGTCCTGCAGTCAGCAGGGAGTCCATCTGCTTGGTCACTGTGAAGGGGCATCCACGTTTCTGAGTATGGAGAAATTGAAGAGTTAGGTGAGACACACAGTTTTAGACTTCTTTCTATTCTTGTGATTCAATACAGCTACCTACGGTTTTGTTGTCGATTTGGTTATTTTCTTTCAATTGCCTAACAGTGACTTTGTCACTTTGAATAGACCATCCTGTGCTGTAGCAAGCACTTGCTTTTGGCAAAACTTTTTAAGAATATCTGTTTCCAATGATCCAAACTCAGTTGGAAATGATGAAGAAACTACAATAAGAAACTCAGCAACTGAAATCAAGGACTCCATCTCAACTTCTCTTTGGAGACACAGAACTTATAATCAATAAGTGAATATTAGCTTAGGAAGACTATAAGAAGAAAAGGTCAACGGCACAAAAGCACACATTATATTATATTCATATACAGAGAGTATGTTATTACCTAACAGTATCTTTGAGCACTGAGTCATGGTTTCAGATTCACTGAGAACAGGGCTGCAGGTGGCAATCCATTCATGTATATTTGCTCTTCACAAAAACCAATTTTGCATTGAGGGAGCTGCTGAAATGGAGATGCCAGAACAGTATCAGGATGATGTAGAAATCTTTGCAGATGTACAATTTTCATCTAAAATAAGTTCCACTGCAGTGTCCTACACTGCTTCAACACAAAATTATTCAAAATAAAGCTTATTTTTACATAGTCTTCTCAGTTCCGAGGACAGATGCAGCCCTGACGTATGTCTGGGGGAGGACTCTTCATCATTTAGCTGCGACCACAGAACTGTACCAGTTAAGAGTGTTGCACCCATAAGTGGTGATGAGCAAGGGGAGAATAGAACTGAGCGATCTTTAGACTATTTAATAGACTATTTCATAAATCCACACTTTGTGCAAGATAGGCCATATGCTTTGGTCCATTTTGGCCACTTTTGCACTGCTCCTCAATGACTACTGGGGAGTAAAGTAGGTTGGTAAAATAAAGCCACTGTGCAGGCTCATGTGCCAGCATTTTTGCTTTTCTTAGTTGGGGAGATTGAAGACACAGGAGACATACCCATTGGTAACACCTTTACCTTCAACCACCGTCTTGCGGACTGCAGCAGTAATGCTAACAGCCATATTGCTCCGCCATTAGCAAAATGCCCAGAGCTACCTGTTGGCTCTGATTCTTTCTGATGACCTTCCCAGGTTTGTCTGGGGTTTGTAATTGTTTTGTTTCCCACCATCTTCTACCTAGATCTTCATTCTTGTCTTGAGAGTGCCTTCTGTGCGAAAAGCCCCACAGCCATTTCCCCTTATGCCAGGCCCAAATGTAGACTGCTGTTCTCTGAAAGTTTTGATCTTAGGTTGCTTTATCGTTTCAGAGTTGACCTTAGTAACATGCTTAGAAAAAGAAGGGGGTGAGAAAGGAAAGGAAACCTGTTTGCAAATGTAGATTTTTCCTGCAGAGGTTTCCTTTTTTTAATGTGATGTTTAGAAATAGTGTGTGTGAGGGAGACGGTGATTTCTATGCCTGGCTAGAAATCCTCCTTACCTTCTTTCACTCTTGAAACAGAGGGGGCAGCTCTGCTTAACAGAAGTAATTATGATTGCAATAAAACACAATATTCTGCCTAAAAAATATCTGACTGCATTGTACCTTAGGAGCTACAGCAAACGGGGATCATGGTTTTAAAGTGCGCGGCCGCTAGCGGTAGGCCTTGTACAACGCATTAATGCCAGAACCAAACATACTGCAGATGAGGCTATATAACAGCAGTTTCACTGGTTACCACGAAACAATAGTGCTCGGTCAGGAAACCACTGCAATAATCCTGCAGCTTTCACATGTCAATATTAGGGCATCACTACAGCGGCACTGCAGAAGTTGTGAAATGTGTCTCCGCTGTTCCTCATTACCTCTGCCCTCTCAGGGACGTGCGAAACCGCCGATGAGCACGTACTCTCCCTTTCCTCCGGCTGCCTGACCCGTTATTCACCGCCGGCGAGGGAAGGGCGGGCAAGGGCTTTCACCGGGGCTGTTTAGCCGCCACTGGTGCCTCAGCAGCGCTGAACGGTCTCAAATGGAGGGCGGCAAGCAGGGGCTGGCCGCGGACGGAGCGGGCTCTCTGGGGCTGCAGCCCGGCCCCGCCGGCCCCCCTCAGCTCCGGATGGCGGCTTCCCACACTCTCCGCCTGGCAAGCCGGCGGAGGAAAGGCGTCCAGGGCCAGGGGCAGGGGCAGGGGCAGGGGCGGGGGCAGGCAGGGCGGGCCGCGGCCGCAATGCAGCACCGCCTCGCCAGGAGACGCCATGGCCGCCCAGGCTGCCCTGCAATGCCGGCGTCTCCCCGTTAGGTGCTGCTGCCGGCCGTCTGTGCGGTGCCGAGGTGGCCGAGGGCAGAGCCCGAAGCAGTGGCAGGTTGCTGTGCTGGGTGTGATTCAGCATAAGTACGTACATCCGCACAAAGCAGGCTTGTGCGCACAAAACGTATGTGGCATGAGGGTGGGTACTCTGTGCCAAACTGCGGAATTAATTGCAGCGCTGAACGTAGGGGTGTGAAAGGGTCCGAAGCACCCTGAGGTGAATTCAGTGTCCTCTGTTCTCACTTCTGTACCACCGGTATAAAAAGCACCTCTGCAGTTAACTGCTGAAAACGGAACTTGAAGTGGGGGGTCCCCCACCTGGCAGGAATTCAGCACAGGTGGCTCTTCCAAGAACTACGGAAAAGTAAGGATATACCTACTGTACGACATGGTCAGTCAGTTAGCTGTCACACTGCAGCCATTCTCAACCAGTTATTTGCCTGTCAAGGGGCACTACTGCCACACAACAAGAGCTACAGAAGCTGCAAGCCAGCGACTGGTTCAGAGAATTAGAATGTGGCAACTGGCCACCAGCTTCACCTGATCGAGCCTCGAGTTTGGAGATGGGATGAGGGTGGTAAGCCTTCTTTTACTATATGATCAGTTGGCAATGCTTTTCCCCTTAAACATAACCACCTACAGACCAGCAAAGTGGCAAGCAGTGGAACAGCCAATGTTAAGCTTTCTCCTTTCTCTGCAGAACATCAAAATACTGGCAGGCCCTTGTGTTTGTGTGTACTATGACAGCCCAAGACAACTCTAAGAAATGCATGAGACTAGAAGGAACACACAGAAGTATCAGCTTGGGGAGAGATCCTCCATTAATGGCCTGCCTTTTTTGACAGTGAGAGACTCAAAGTTGCTCTATATTTACGACAACAGCCCACAAAGGCCCGCAACATGGAGCCTCTCATATCTCACCTGGAAATTCCTGTGCTGAAGTTACTGAAATTACATCAGACATAGTTTTTGTAAGTTAAAGCAGATTTTGACACACAAAGTGGGATTTGAGACAAGTGGGAAAGTGTGATTCTCCCGCTCTACTCTGCTCTCGTGGGACCCCTGCTGCAGTACTGCGTCCAGATCTGGGGCCCCCAACACAAGAGGGACATGGACTTGTTGGACCAAGTCTAAAGGAGGTCATGAAGATGCAGAACCCCTCCTATGGAGACAGACTGAGAGAACTGGGATTGTTCAGCCTGAAGAAGCAAAGGCTCTGGGGAGACTTTATTGTGGCCTTTCAGTACCTAAAGGGGCCTACAAGAAAACTGGAGAGGGACTTTTTACAAGGACATATATCGACAGGACAGGGGTGAATGACTTTAAGCTGAAAGAGGGGACGTTTAGATTAGATATTAGGAAGAAGTTCTTCACTGTGAGGGTGGTGAGGCACTAGTACAGAAAAGCTATGGCTGCTCCATCCCTGGCAGTGTTCCAAGCCATGGATGGGCTTTGAGAAACCTCATCTAGTGGAAAGTGTTCCTGCCCATGGCAGGGGGTTGGAAATATTTAGTCTTTGAAAGTCCCTTCCAACCCCAGCCATTCTATGATTCTAGGATTTATAGATAAAATTTCCTCAGCAATTACACTTACCTCATTGAGATGCCTGAGCTAAGACCACAGTCCCCTTGAGCGGAGGCCTGTACATTCCACACCTCTTTCCCCAGCCCCAGATTTAATTCCAAACTTGGTGAAGACAGCGAGAATGCTTTTTTACTGAAGCCAGCACGCTTTGTGCCAGGCTTCACCCTGTAAATATTTACTGATGAAAAAGCATATGACCTGGTTCCCAGTCTGGCTACTATAACCAAAGATGTTTCTCTGTCAGCTCAGGAGCCCATGGGTGCAGATGCATTGCAGATGCACAAGGGCTTTACAAGACATGGAACATAATTTACTCCTGTTAATAGTTACTCCTTTTGCTAAACTTTCCAGTTTTTACTCTCTGTTTAACATTCATTCCCTTCCTTTTCTGTCTCTTAAACTAATATTGGCCTGTTTTAACTAACTGCATGTAATCATTGCTGAAAATACGCATCGCTACTTCAGGTTTTTTCACTGTTAACTCTTACCCTAGCTTTACTTCACAGAACAAAATAGTTGTCCCCACATGCTTCTTGAAATAATTGTTGGTTCCTCTTATAATTTGCTTGGATGCCAGCTTCTATTTAGAAATAAAATATAATCATTGACTAACCACTCTAAAGCAGCTTTGTGCTAACCTAAATTAATCCCTATTCCACTTGTTTTTCTGCCTTTCTGCTCCACAACTGCCCCCTAGAGAAACAGTTCTGCAAGGAAAAAATAAGACTCACATCCAGTCATGCAGTACTTTCAACAGTTAGTTTGCACTAGACTGGCAAAGACTCAGCTTGGTAGAGGCATTTCTCAGCAAAACTGGAAAATGCTGACCCAGAGGCACAGATATATTTTAGATAACATCACTTTTCTGAACAATGTATTTTTCAGAACCTTTTATTTTTCCCCAAGGCAATATAATTGCTGATGAAGATTAGCCAGGACGTGGCCAGCTACAACATCTCCAAAATTTGACAGGTCAAAACTTTAGTTAATGCTTCCCTCTGGCAGGGAACATCCACATTTTGAAGAGGATTTTCATTAAAACACTGAGTGCAAGCCAAGTATATGGGTTTTCTTTTAAAGGTGCTAGAAGGTTTCCTATATTTCTAAGTGAAATAAACCGTGCCCTGCCTAAAACAGCTGTCAGCCTACCTAGGTAGACCTGAACTTGATGTTTCCTTATCCTGCCTGGTGCCTTGGGCAGTATGTAACTAGCTATGGGGAACAGTGGGCATTCACAAAGACCTTGGGTTTATCACTCAGTGCAGGACATGAGAATACTTGAAACTAACATTTTTCACAGAACAGGAGGACTGTTCAGTGCAAGTGGAGAAAAGAAGGCTCCATGTAAGCACTTTTCTCAGAGAGAAAAGTCCCTGTGTGTAGGCAGATCAGCTTCCAGCCTGACTGGAGTTTTGCCAGTCAAAGGGAACTCGCAGCAGATCTATCCAAATGGATGCAGTTATAGGACTGGGGATATTTTTTATTTATTAAAAAAAAAAAAGAAAAAGAAAAATGGCATACAATAGAAGGGGTAACCCTGTAACAAACAGTTTTTCTATAAGTAGCACAATACGGCCTGGTTTCCTAAGATTTGTGTCTTATTTCCCTTACATTCCCATATCATGGTAATGACCACTTTCCTGTACAAGGACCCCCACATACCACATGACTGCCCCTGCAACTGGTCCTTCCTTCTCACCTTCCCCACACACTTCACCTCAGTGCTCTCCCATGAGCTGTGACTAGGGAACAACTGGAAAAGGGTCTGCACCGTGGCTGGTTTGGCACAGGAGTGTGCTGACTGGCAAGATAGCTCAGCAAGTAAGTTACCTTGGATTCTCACACTACCTCACTGCTCTTCTTTGTAATAAAATTTTTATAGCTTTATATTGTTGAGGCTGAGATTCCTCATCAAACTGGGCTGAAATAGCCACTGGACTTCAAAGTTACCAGGGAAAAGCAGGCACCACTGTTGCACTTCCCTTGGAAGCCTGGCTACTTAAAACTGAGGAATTGCAGGTGAGGAGCCAGTGGATGTTACTCCGAGTGAGGTGAACAGGCAGGTTTTCCCTGTGGGAGAAACACTTTCTAGTGCAATGCTAGCGAATGAGGTTATCCCTACTTGAGCCACCACGGTCCAGCCGCAGCAGGGGCAGCCCTGGGCCACCTTCCTTTCCCACTCAGCATCCCGCTCCAGAGAGGGACGTCTCAGGGGCGACCTAGAGTGGTCCCTCCGGAAGGCCCAGCAGACCTGGAGCTGGGCTGGGTAGGGCCCTTAGGGGTCGAGCCCCGCCACAACCCAACACCGGCCTTCCCCGCCCGCTTCTTCCCTGAGCAGCGCAACAGCAGGTAGAATGGGCGCGGTGGTGCCCCCCCACATCGGAAGGTAGGCGGGCCGTGCCTGTGCCGGGGGCAGCACACCTGCCAGTCCCCCACCCGCAGGCCGGCCGCCCGCTCGCACCGGGTCCTCCCCACCACCTGCTGCGCTCACTGGAGAGGCGGCGGCATTGCGGGCGCAGCCAGTCGTCCGGCCGATGGCTGCGTGCCGCCCTCGGCACAGGGATCCGCTCCCATCAGGTCCCATCCCTGTGTGAAATGCCTGCACGCACCGCTGCTGCCGCTGCTGCTGCTGCTGCTGCTACTGCTACTGCAGCAGTACCAGCAGCAGCCCCTGCACTTGCGGCGCACCCATCCGGCCGCCAGGGGGCACCGCCACCCCGCGCCCGCCCGCCCGCAGCCCACCCAAGCTCTGGCGGGGAAAAAGGGGCGGGAGAGACGCGCGAAGCTGCTCGTGCCCGCCCCTCCCCGCCGTCACGTGCCTGGCGTTAGAGCTTCCCCCGGCCCCTCTCGGGCTACGGCGCCGCACGCGACTTTCCGGGTGGGGAGGGGGCGGGGCGCGAGCCGCTAGGGGGCGCCCCACCCCCATCCCGGGGGGTGGGCCGGCGGGCCTGCCCGGCGCGCGCCGTTTGTTGACCGAGCGGCGGTTGGTGGCGCGAGACTCTCTAGTGACGAGCTCGCAGGAAGGACAGGCGGGAAGGGGGGGATAGGAGGCGGGGCAGCTGCTGCCG